CATGTTGTTAAGCACATATAGAACTTATATTTTATTGCAAAAAGATTAAAAAAAAGAAGAAAGAAGTATTTTAAGGCCATGCCAACTTAATAAATTAGTTCTCATAACCCACCGGGTCAAATTTTACAAATCTTTAAAAGTATATTTACTATCCAGGTGGGTTTTGCTAAAAAATTTTATATGCTTTTTATATATAAAATTTTTTGAAAATAAAGTTAAAAGCCGGGTTACTGGGTCATTTTCAAAAGCTTTATGTTATGAGAACAAAAAAATTAACTTGGCCCGGCCTAAGAGATAGATAATTCTAAATTTATATATACAAAAAAAAAAAAAAAAACTAATCAGATTCAATTAAACTTAAAACTAAATCAGGAATTCGGCGGTATGAATGGTATTTTTTAACAGCATATTCAGCTGCTTTACCCTTCAAACCCTTTCGATATGCATCCATATAGCGAAATGCTTTCCTTGAAAATCGGCGAATAGTTGGAAGTGGCACAGAATCAAGAGCTAATAGAACAGTTCTTTGCAGTCCTTTCCATAAATAATCACAGTGTGATCAGCTATATTTTTTGGCTGCACCCCAGAAGTTCTCAATGTAATTAAGCTCGCAATGGAATTTAGGATAGAACACAATTTGATGCCTAGCTGCAACAATAATTTCTTCTAACTGTCCTTTTTGTGCCAAAAAGTCTGGTTGCTAACTCATCAATTCTCGTGCTTCTTTTAACTTTAATCCCTCTTCTGGCCACAATCCTCTCTTTGTTAAAACTTCTCTTAATCCTTTAGCTTCTCCACATAATTTAGGAATATGATAGTCTGATGGAAAAACTATATCCTGATCATATTTTATTCTTTCACGAAAATAAGATATATTGCGTATTTTTTCTTGTTTTCCAGCAGGATTAAGGTTCATATGGTTGGCAATAAGTGTGTCAAGTGAAAAAGTAGCATGGCTTGTTGCATTGTCAAATGCAAACAAAGCTTGGCATCCTGGAAAGCATGCTTCAAATATG